TCAGGCGCTCGTCAGTATTTGGGCGTGTGGCGTTACTAGTATCATCTTAAAGTTTATGTATTTGCCTGGGTCTTGATGCAAAAACATACCTGTCTATCTTGAATTGAAGTCGAGGTATTTGCGATTGGAAGAGGTGAGGGTCGCCTGGTTTCAGAGGTAATATTAGCGAGAAAATGGCGGCCAAAGTGTTGTGATTTCCAAAGTCTTTGGGGAAGGAAAATGTATATATTTCTGTCTTTAATCAACGTTTTTTCCAGTAAACTCCACACATAAATGTGTTTTTAAAAGGACCTTAAAGGTGTTGAACCAGCAAAAATAAATTGCTAAAAATTACCAAAAACAGCGGGAAAAGGCCAATAATTTCAATTTCCATATTTTGGCGTACGCCTGATTTGACCACGATGAAACACCACAGACTGCGTCCAACTATCTTTCTCTGTGGGGTCAGATCACGGGTTGGGGCGACATGGGAGGTCGATTCACATGTTCAGGGTAAGGACCATAATATAACAATGGAATTTCTACATTTCACCTGCCGCGGCAACAATATTGCTTGTTTCATTTTCAGAATGTAATGTGTATCTTTAGACAGAATCGTAAGTCACTACTTTAGAATTACAAAGTTCTCTCTGACATTTTGGCCGTTTTGAGTTACCCAGACCTTGAATTAAGAAACCAATAAGTGTTCTATCTATTCTACCAACATCGTAGGATTATTTGGAGTCGTTATCAAAACTTTCAAAGAATTGCTTTTGAAAAAAAAGGGACTTGTTGAGGAACTCGAAATTTTTGTTTGACGAAATGGAATTTTAGAGTAGCGAAGTGTCCTTGTGGCTTACCGTACGGTTGGTCGTTGTCAGAGAGAAATGAGTGTAGACTTCGGTTCGGAACATCGTGTGCCTATAAAGGTGGCCATATGCCCTGAAATAAGAAGAAAGGGAGCTCAGATAGCTGAGTCAGTATCACTATAGAGTACGATATGGTTGACCCTAGTTCAAATCCGTTTGTGGATGTTCTTGAACTTTGGTTGTGTAGGGAGGTTTCCAACCCCTGTACTCAGCTGGTGCGTTCTCGTCGAAGATGGACGATGTTTTCGAGGTGCTGTCTTTAACATAACCTCACAGTGTTGATGAAAGTAAACTTTAGCCCTCTTGTCAGAATTTATTTGACTTACTATGCGCATCCGTGATTTCCACTCTCTGTGGGCTCACATTTGAGTCGCCGTGACGTCATACACTTTACTGTACCACGTTTTTTACAGGATCATTAACGAAAGGAGAGAAGGAAAGGGAGGATAAAGGGGGAAGGATATGGGTCTTGTGTATGAATGCACCTCCACCCCTCACCATACAACTAATTATGAAATGAGGGTAATGAAGTGAAAAGGTTAAGATAAGGTTGATTAGTACAAATGCCCCCTGCCCCTTCCGAAACCCCATCTTTTTCCCCATATATCTTACCAATGAGCAAAAGGATTACTTTTCATAGAGTAAACTGACTTCTGGATGCAGGGGAAAAAGCTTGAAAATGTGGATGGTTGGAAGGTGTTCTTGTGTATTTTGCTCCTTCTTTTCTATATTCTGATCTGCTTTTATTTTCTCCCCTCATTCTTTTCTTTGTACGATACTCTCTTACGTCTCCTCTGATCATCAGCATTTAGATGACCTAATTGTTCTTTTTCTGGTGCCGAACAATTCTTGCAAAAACTAAAACAAAAGCGAGAGAAGCTATATAAAGTACAGCGTAAGTTTATCTCACCCAGTATCAACGTGAGTCCTGACCTTTATCAAAACTCAAATCCTCAACTCTTGCACCTAATTTTTGGAATGTCGCTCCCCACCACCGTATTCAGTAAAAATAATCATCACCATCATCATTGCCTTTCTCACCGTGAATCAGGGTATAGGCCACGAACAAACGCTTTTCATTTTTCCCTATCCTGGGCTTACCTCTTGATGTCATTCCATTTCTTCTCACTTTTCAGTACATCAGTTTCTGTGACTCTTCTCCTCTTCTTCAGTAAAGGTATCTACACCCAATCTTGCTTGGAAGAGAGAGAGAAAGAGAGAGAGAGAGACAGAGACAGAGAGAGAGAGAAAGAGAGACAGACAGAGAGAGACAGAGAGAATTATGGTACTACACTAGTAAACAATACGTTCAATTGTTTTATCCTGTATACGCAGAGAGACAGAGAGAGTGGGGGGGGGGGGACTGAGAGAGACAGAGAGAGAGAGAGAGAGAGAGAGGGAGGGAGAGAGAGAGAGAGAGAGAGAGAGAGAGAGAGAGAGAGATCCCTTTCGCTCGTTTTGCTGACACAGCCGATGTTGTACCCCTCTTAATTGACGTGACTAAGAGCTGCTCACTCACACGATTGTGGGTTGTGAGAGGTCGTCTGGCGGTCTAATTTAAGGTCACAGTTTTAGCGGCAGAGAGACGTCATTCTCACGCATGCTTGCTCCACAGACATGCATGTAGGATAGGGTGGGGAGAGGTAGAAGGAGAGAGAAAGAGAGAGAGAGAGGGAGAGAGAGAGAGAGAGAGAGAGAGAGAGAAACAAAGAGAAGGAGAGGGAGTGGAGGAGACAAACAGACAGACAAACATATAGACAGAAAGAAATACAGACAGACAGACAGATAGACATTCCTACAGACAGATAGACAAACAGAAAGAAGCAAAGAGAGAGATTGTAAAGAGAATTGCGCGAGGGGGAGTGCCATTGATGACTATATCACCATCGACAAGAAAGATAAGAGAACTCAAACTTAAGCGAAATGGGAAAGTTGGAGTGGAAGGGGGAGGGGGCAGCGAGGTTTGTGCTCGAAAAAGATAATGTAGAAAAAGGGGAGGGGTGGGGAATAGAAGAAATTGAAACTTATTTTGAGAAGTCAGAAAAAAAAGCGAAAGGAGGAAGGGTTGGTCAGGAGAGCAGTGAAGCATGATACGAAAGAGGTGTTCATAAACACATGTACAAGTAAGTTTTCATGTTCTTCTCAGTGGGGCATTGACAGGAATAGGGTAATCAAGAGGATCTTCATTGTCCCTCCTGCCATTTTTGTCTCCAGTCTCTAGAGACTTCCACGGTGCCTTTTATTCAATCAGCTCCATCGCTTTCTACTGCTTCCCTGACTGTTGTTGTCGTCTTCGTCCGTGCTATTCACCTTCTATTAAAGTTGAAGTAACCTGTGTTGTTCGATACTACAATAATAAAATGTGTCGTTTCAAAGAATGGGCCTTTGGTCACCGCAGTGACACCAGAGATAGTACAGCCTACGGTAGGCTGTACTATCTTTGGTGACACCCAGTCCAAGCGAGGAAGAAATCTGACTTAATTGTTCGTTTGACTCTTATAAACTAAAATTGGAAGTCGGTGCTTTGCTTCGGTAGCTCCAAATTCATACAATTTCTTCTCCTTCAGAACTCTTTCATTGCGGTTTCTCATTTTTTTCAACGCCATTTTCCTTCGTGCAATACTTTCTTCACTATCAGAACCTCTCAGTGTGACTACCTTTGCTGATGGGCCTCTAATCCCTGGGCATGACACAATCTTACATTGTGTAACCTACTGCTCGTGATTAATGGCTTCTCGCGGGGTATGTTGACTTTTCCCAAGCACTTTGATCTGTTCAAGAATGTCGGGGCTCGCTCCAGTCTGGTATCGATGTACATGTCGACTGGTCAGGTCAAGACACCCGTATGCCTCATTTTTCTAAAAATTGACTTCTTTGCTTTTCCGTTTCCGCAGATCGATCTCTCTCCGTCACATATTATCTTTTTGATGAGAGGATCGGACTGTAAATAACTTGTAAACAGTCCAATCCTCACATCGAAATGAATGTGACTGAGAAAGATCTGCGCCACGGAGAAGCAAAAAGGTGGGTTTTTAGACAAATGTGACATGAGTGTTTCTTCAACTGAAACGTCGATGCATATCTCTGCTGCTGTTATCAAGACGACCTGGAATGTTTGCCTGACCCTCGACCGATAACACAATGCACCTCTGAACAAACCCATGTCATTTTGTTTAACTCATCGACGTCGCACATTCTGGTTATTCGAACGCTTGAAGACCTGCGGTTTTGGAGCATGTTAGAAAAGAAGCTTTTAAGACTTCCTCATTCATACAGATGCTTCAATTAATTCTGTTAGCTTTATCTTGAGCCGAGAAGGACAGGTAATAACATGCAGTCAATGAAATATGAAAATTCGTGCTTCTGAAAAGTGCGTGGTGATTCGAAATGAGCTGCTTTAACGTCTTTTGCCTGCTGCTGATCAGACGTATTATTATTATGTGCCCTTAAAGTGTTAAAGGCTGTTTGCATCAGGCCTTTTGACAAGCCAGAAGACGGAAGTTAAGGCAGCGTGCCTTTCGACTTCATTGTTACTGTTTGTTTTTTTTCCAGAGAGGCAAACTTTATCATTGCTGGGGTGGGGGGGGGGGGTGTTCAGTCGAATAAGGGCAATGATTGCACATCGAACTTTTCGGCTTCGATAAGAAAAATACCATGTCTGCATGCTTCATAATCCAAGGCCCTAGCACAGGATAATCGCTTATTGAAAAGGATGGCTGACAGCCGCATTTGTTGCTTGTGTGGTGCCCAAGTGAATGTGTCGAACAATGTGTTTTAAAAAAGACCAGATTCGTCTATTATAGGTGTTGGAAGATCGTGTTGCATTTCGATTTGAGGATTGGATTGTAAATAAGTTATTTGTAACACCACCCCTAATCTTCACACTGACAGGACCTGATTATGTTGCAAGTGCCTTAAAAGGCTGACTAAAACGCAAAGGGATTAAGAGTAAGTTAGAGTCATCATCATCCGGTGCCTTGCCGACTGGCGTGGGCGATCATGGACCTCCACTTCGTTCTGTCTTGTGTTGCTGCGATGATGTCTGTCGTTCTAGCTGTTGTCAAGTTGTCCAGTATCTTCTCCCTCTGTCTCTCCTTCCATCAATTTAGAATAGCTTTTGCATACTCATTTATTTTCCTCTTTCTGTCACAGGTCGCTATCACCATCTACTGGCTTGGGAAATACGCGTCTAGCTTCTACCAAGGACCGCAACTGGACTTGAGCGCGTTCTCAGCCCTGGTCCATACACGTCACGAAGCTGACATTGTGGAGAAAGACTTCCACAGCAGACGAACCTCATCCTCCAGCTCTTGGGACTGGGCTCATGGTGGACGCCCGGGTTTGAACTCTCAACTCTCTGGAACTGGGAGCAGAGGTCAGATAGGAGACTCGCCCTACCGCCACAACAGGGACAGTTCCTATGACTCATACGAGAAAGGTAAAAATAAAGAACCACCCTCTCCCCGAACAAAATGTTCCCCTCCCTCAACACACACGCACGCACACATACACACACACACACACACACACACACACACACACACACACACACACACACAGCGCACACACTCTCAAAAACACTCCCTCTCTCTCTCTCTCTCTCTCTCTCTCTCTCTCTCTCTCTCTCTCTTCTCTCTCTCTCTCTCACACACACACACACACAAACACACACACACACACACACACACACAGAGAGAGAGAGAGAGAGAGAGACCGAGAGAGACCGAGAGAGACCGAGAGAGAGTGAGTGAGAGAACCTGAACAACACAGATTCAAATATTCTCTGCTATAAGTTCAAAATATTGAACGTGACCAAAATTGTGTCGATAGTGCTGTAAAACATCCACTTAATCTAACCAAATCGCCTTGAAATAACTACCCAATTGAACGGGGCAGAAAGGATTTTTTGTTGAGAGGGGGGGTGGGGGCTCCTCTGGGAATTTTTAGTTCAGTGCTATCCCTCTGTTGTTGTTTTTTCTGTCTGCCTGACTTACTTTTTCATAAAGTGAAAGTTGATGAGCTTTTCTTTGAACTCTCACCAAACGTACCAACATCATAGCCAATGTCATTGTCATTTTTTTTTAAAATTTCCTATTAAATGCGAGCCCTGTAACTAGTATTGGCCTCCTATTTGATTTAAAATGTGTTGATGCGGTCATAAAACACCTACATACTTTTGTTATTACTTTGAAATCAAGCATCGTACGTCATTTTATCTTTTGTGGGATCATTGTGGTTCTGACGGGGTCATGGGGGACATTAACCGCATACCTCACTATTGTTGTCGTCCTACCATTGCTCCATTATTGTTATAATTCCTACTGAACCCTTGTCATGCAACGTGAATGTTATATGTTGGGCATCATGGTGAAATCAAGTGTACGTCAAAATAATGAAATCGAAGAAACCAACATTTTTTTCCTCCCGTTGAGCAATCTATATTTGTTTGTTGGGTTTTTTCGTTGATGTTTTCTTCTTATTTTTTTTGCTTATTGTTTTGTTTTTTAGCTCAACATCTGTTATGTCCATTTAAGAGCACCTTTATGTGTGGATTTTTTTCAGAAAAAAAGTTGACAAAAACATATATAGATCTATATAAATTTGCAGTTTCCGGGGACACTCAAACTTTGGCGGCCATATTTTTCTCGCGGATTTTACCTCTGACGCCTAGGGACCCCCGACTTACTCTATCGAAATACCTCGATCTCTATTCAAGATAAATGGATTTTTTTCAAATGAATAACAAGACAAATGAACAAATGAGTCAGTAGACTTTGCTAAATCGAATTAATGTCTTGACACTTTTCTGTATATCATTCTCTGTATTTGTGGCTTCGAAATCCTTCCTCAGAATCAGTGGGCATTGCTAAATGTCTTGCCACTTTTCTGTACATTATCATTTTCTGTTTTCGGGTTGTTGGTGAGCGCTTCTGGTAGGTCTTAGTTCTCTACTTTCCTTCTGTTTGTTCTGTCTGTCTGTCTTACTGTTTCTCTGCACTAAATGACCATTATTGTGTCAATGTGCTTCTTTTTATTCAAAACAAATTCAACTAACAAACATTCCCAGTATCTGTGGCTTCGAAATCCTTCAGAATCAGATGACATTGCTAAATGTCTATCTACTTTTCTGTACATCATTTTTTTTGTATCTGTGGTTTCGAAATACTTACTCAAAATCATTTGACATTTTTCCGTGCATTTCCAATTTTCTGTATAATATCATTCTCTGTAATTGTGACTTCGAATTCCCTAGAATCATTTGACATTTTTCTATGCTTTTTCACTTTTCTGTACCGGTATATCATTCTCTTTATGTTTGGCTCCTAAATCATTCCACAATCGTGTGTTTTGTTTTTTGTTGTTGTTGTTGTTGTTTTTGGTCTTTTACCTGTTGGTGGTTGGCGGGTGGTCTGGTTTGGTTTGCTTCTTCTTTCCTGTCAAACATCTAGGCCTACCGTCCTTATCTTGCTTTCTTATTTTTTATGTTTGTTACTCTCTTGTAACACCTATAATCTTCTGGAGCTCATATGACCTTATGCAGTTGCGAGCGCCGTAAAACCTCTACTAAAACTTTTTTTCTTCGCTTTTCTGTATATCCTTCTCTTCATGATTGGTTTCGAAATCGTTCCCCAGAATCAGTAGACAGCCTGGACGAGGGAGGGAGCATGCCAATGGCGCGATACAACAGCGGGTCATCCCTCAACAAGCAGAAGGACCACCAGAACTTTGCCACGTTTGACTCCAGCTTCAGTGATGAGAAATACAGCGGGCTATACCGGAGCAGTCCGGACCTGTCTCACAGGTGTGTGTTTTGGTGTGTGTTTGGGTGTGT